GTTTGGGGGCCGATTGGGGCCCTGATAGGGCCAGCTGGCCTCCACAGTGCATGTCATAGCGACCGGTCGTTTTGGTTGTTCCGATTGTTCCAGTTGTTCCATTGGTCCGGTCGCTTGCATTTTATATATATAGATAAGCTTTATTGTCTTCTGTATCTACTAAATCCTTTCAACATCCTCATGTTGGGATGTAGGAGATTTACTCTAACACTCTCAAATTCAGTTGCTTTTCATTCTCTTTTGTATACACCAGTACATTCTGTGGAATTTTTGGTTTGTGTAATCCTTACTGATAAAATAGGAATAAAACAGTATTTATTGCAGGGGAGTTTTGTAACAATTACATAAGATAATAACTACATTGAAAGTGGGTGGAATATTGCCTAATAAATGTTCAGCCCTCAATTAAATTTCAACTACTATGACTATTATTACATCCTAACTTTGTTCTTATCATTTGGAAAAAGCGCCCTAACATGTGATTGTTTTGGGGGTGAAATTTCCTTAGTCACTGTTTTTCAAGCTTTGCCTGTTCACAAGGTCTTTTTAATGACTATCTTTTTATCATATTCTAATATGAAACTTAATAGTCTGAATCAGAAAAACACTGGCAAGATATCTGTACATGTTACCAGTGATAACAATGGTTTTGTATTCATATACTATCTTTTCACTTCAAAACCTTTCATAAGCTTTATACTTTATAAATGTGAATGACTGATCCTCAACACACTTGACTTATTCCCATTTTCTTCAAACTTCATCAAACCAATGAAGTAGGGCTTAAGCAATGCCTTCTATTTATATTAATACTAGAGGCCTGGTGCACAAATTCATGCATGGGTGGGCTCTGATGAGGGCCGACTGGGCCGGCTGGGGGGAGGGGTCACAGGAGGTTGGCTGGCCGGCCCCGCCCCCAAATCAGGATGGGGGTGCCAATCAGGGGGCAGGGCCAGCCAGGGAGAGGGGTTGTGGGCAGTTGGCCGGCCGGCCCCACCCCCGATTGGGAGGGGGCAATTGGGGGCGGGGCCGGGCCAGAAGGAGAGGTTTCGGAAGGTTGGCCAGATATCATTTAAAAGAGCAATCAGATATCATGCAGAGAAACCAAGATGGTGGCATAGGTTAACACCGGAGATTGCTGCCTCAAACAACCAATTCAAATTACACCTAAAAGACGGAACGGACATCATCCAGAACCACAGGAAGGCTGGCTGAGTGGAAATTCTACAACTAGGAGGAAAGAGAATATCATACCCAGACTCAGAGGAGGCGCAGTGCTGAAGTCACTCAGGTGCGGAGTGTGCGTGGAGCGGGCAGGCGGCGGAGGGCGCGGTTGTTGTTTTCAATCGGGAGGGAGTCTCAGATTCTGAGCTCCAGATCCGGGCGAGTCTCTAGGGACCCAGACTCAAATGGGAGAAGCGGGACTGTCTGGCTTCGGTCG